AGCCATAAATACTATCCGGCCCTAAAATATGCAAAGGAGAAATGCATAACTTTAATATGCTTGCCTTTCCATTGCTCCCACAGAATTCAACCATTAGATGTAACATGTTTTGGCCCATTAAACACCTACTACAACCAAGAAGTGGACCGAGGGATGAAAACTAATCCTGGTCGTGTTGTAGGGCCATTTCAGATAGGAAAGACTTTTTCTGTAGCCTATGGTAAGGCAACAACCACTGCAATAGCGTGTTCTGGCTTTGCTAAAACTGGCATATTCCCATTTAACCCAGACGTGTTCCCAGATTACATGTTTATGCCCAGTTTGGTAACTGACCATCCTCAGCTAATGGTAGATACTGATCATGATCAAACTGCAGACCCATATATCCAAAGATCATTGAAATTACGATTTCCAGAGACGAATAAAAAAAAAAATGATGAGGTCAAGAGAATTCGACTTTCAGAGCTGTCTCCAACTCCAAAACAAGAACCATCTTCAGAAAGAAGAAAAAAGAGAACGCAGTACAAAGTACGAAAATAAAATTGAGACAGAAAGAAGAAAGTCGAAAAGAAATAGGGCAACAAGGAAAATAATTGAAAAAAGTAACAGTGAAGAAGAAAGGGAGTTTATAGAAGAAATGGAAGAAAATGATAAAGATGATCCTTCATGTATTTATTGCAATTAGCTATATAGCCTTCCAAGATCTGGAGAAGGTTGGATCAGATGTCAAAAATGGGGTTATATAGAATGTGCGGGTATAAGCAAAAGAGGCAAGCAGTTTTTATGTGATATTTGTCCAAATTAAAATCAATCAAAATCGTCTAAATGTCATTTGGTATTTTCACCTCAAGGCTAAAAGGCTTTCATTATGTTTTCTATCGTTAATAAGCCTATCTTCAAAATAAAAATATTTTTATGTTGCGTTTATTCAAAATAAATTACATTTAGATAGGGTACGTCATTTTATCCAACATATTTTATAATTATTCAAAAGTGACTTTTTTGTAAAATAGGGTATTTTTTCTAGAAAAGAATTTTTGTACACCCTTAAAACTTGATAAATAATGTTAAACATTTTAATAAAACAGTTGCCGAAATTATGTGTATTTATTTTATTTTTTGTCGGACTTCTTGGTTAAAACAGTTTGGGTATGTCATTTTAGGACAGTCTCCCCTATTTAATATAGAATGAAGTTACAATTTTCTTCATTTTTTTTTTATCTTTGACAACGTTTCTCTACCGACTCTTAAAATTTGCATTGCTCCTCCTATTGTTGTCGCCTTCTTACATCTTGTACCATCTACGTTAGTTTTAAGTTTTAGTATCCTGAATATTGGAGAACGGTGCTCAAACTTTTTCGTCCCGTAGACCACTTGCTATATTTTTGGGTAGCTAATATTGCATTTTTGAAAATTCATGAACTTCAAATGTGTTTTTACGGATTGGATTTGATTTGAGGCGTGAAAAAAAAATACAAAACTACACAATAATTTTTATACAATTAATAATGAAACTGAAATTAAAATGAACAAAATAAAATTAAGTGTTTCTCCACCAGTAGGGCACCACCTCCTTATGCTGGTGGGGTGCGGGAGGTAATCAAACAGAATTTTTACAGGCTCTGACTATCTTCACTCTTTAAACAATGGTATTACATAAAATCAGTAAGTAAAAAATAAACGATTGGGGAGGGATAAACCTTATGCTTTAAAAATAAATTTTCAATATTTGGCATCAATTTGTCGAGGTTTAATATTAAGTGATGTCCAGTTTGTTCCTATTTTTTTTTATTAGAAAATTGGCAACCGCGCTGAAACCTATTTTCACTAGATATAAAGTCGAAAAAGCGATTAAAACTAATCAAATAATCCTCCCTCTTACTTACGCGGGTTTCGGATTAAAATTTGTATAAGTATTTCCAGATAAGTACCCAAAAGTTTGACCTGTTCTTTGGGGAAATAAACCTAATAATAATTTTATATTACACTTCACACAGAAAATATGGTCTATGTATAATAAGAGGGTTATTTAACTCAAATAAAATATTTTCTAACATACAAATTTGTTCCATGTAGAGAATTTCAAATGAAAAATAAAAAAATTGAACTTGCCAACAAAAATTAAAATCAGTCATTATCATCCAAAATATCATAATCGTCATCATCATCACTGTCATCACCATTAATTGTTATTCTGATTGGACTTATTTCGTTTATTTTATTTTTACGAGTCCACCAATCTTCTATTAGTTTCTCGCACTTGGATATACAGTTCCGCCACACTTCTGGAGTTGCAATTGAAAGTGCTTTTCGCCAAGTTTCCCGAACTGCATCGTCACTTAACCATTAGGCCCAATATGGTTGTCATAATATTGTTTTAGTTTTCCCCATATATATTCGATGGGATTAAACTGGCAATGATATGGTGGCAGATGTAAAACTTGATGACCGTAACTTTCAATAATCTGATCCACAGCAAAGGTTATTGGTTTTGTGTGTATATTTGCCAAACGTAATAATTCTGATTTTAATATATATATATATTAAGGAAATGGGTTTATGTTCCTTTGTCAACCATTCTTTAATTTTATCAACAGTCCAAGAATTCGTTGGACTTTTGTTTAATACGTTTAATACTTCAGAATGGTAAGGTGCATTATCTAAAATAATTACGCTGGGCTTACTTAAACCTCTGAGAAGTTTTTCATGCAACCATTTTACAAACATTTCTGTGTTCATATTATCGTGATAGTCACTGAATTTTGATTTAGATGAAAATATTAAATCAGCACCTTCTATAAAACCCGATTTCCCTCCTGCATGTAAAATTATGTGTCACTTCCCTTCTCCATCGGTATGTTTAATGAACTTTACGTTATCATCTTGCCATATTCTCTTGGCTGCACTCCTATAAAATATCCATGTTTCGTCTAAATATATAAAATTCGCCCCTTCTTCTTTAAATTTAGAATATTTTCTTAGAAAGTTAATTCTCTTGTGCACGACAGAACTTCTTTCATAAAGGGCCTTTCTGTTATCCTCCTTTTAAAATTTGAAACCCAAGTTATGTATCACCTGCCATAAACTTGTTCTGCCAATGTCGTCAAATTTTCTATCTATTAATTCCGAGAGAATTGTATTTAAGGTCACATGTTCCTTGTTGGCCCTCATTCGATAAATGGTATCACGAATTTCAAATTTATTTCCATCTGGAATACCTTTCGTTTTCAATGATGGGCGAGTTTTGCGGTGATCTTCTTTCGGCAGTTTACTATTGTGATTTTCTAATACTCCTCTTAATTTGGTTCCACCAATTCCTAAAGCATCGCATACGCGTTGTTGTACAGACATTACCTATTTTAAAGGACCGCTATTTTCTTTTTTATCCGTAAAATACTTATATACACTACAAATTAGACTATCTACATATAACACACGTCTAAACATTTTTAAAATTTCCACTAAATTTACAATATACATACAATGTCAACACTTGCAAAGAATCAATTCAACTGCAATATTTATAACAAATTTAGTACCTACCCTAATGTTATTTTAATTTAAATCTGACCATTAGGGCAATTTTACCTAATTTTTTGGGAAGAGGCTTATTGGAACTGGTTGTCAATAACTAATTTGCATAATTTGGTTAATCCGAAACCCGCGTAAGTATAACGAATAGACTGTAGATGGTTTCATAGCGTCATTGCTTAAAACTTTGTTGCATAAAAATAACATAGGCAATTACTTGTCCTACAAGGAAGAAATGAAGCCAAATTTCAAAAAATTAACACTGTATTTCTTTTCTTTTTATATTTGGCCATGTTTAGTATCAGTTATCTGTAAACAAAATTGAGCTATTTAAAATATTTAAATTAGTAATACCAATAATGTAGAAGGGGTCGGGCAAAAAAGCTTATTTTAATTTAATAATTTAACTTATTGTAAATCTACTGAACAAATGCTTAGTGCTTCTTAAGCAGGTAGCACGTCTCCAATGGAACAACTTTTGGGGAAAATGCGCTGAGAATACGAAGGACAACATTGCGATTAACTTTCATTGTCCACGATCCCCACATGTCTGTTAAACAATTTCTCTCAAGAAATAGCGCAACCCCTATTTATATAACGAGAATGCTCTATCACCGTGTAGACGTGTTTACCTCGTTCTCCATTGCCACCCGTGTTTCTGTGGTTTATATTTCAATTAATTTTATAAAACTTACTAATCGAGTTCCTAACGTGCATTTCATTTCCTCAGTGAAAAATAGTGCAAATGCAAAAGCTGTAAGTCATAATAAACCTTAATAACATTTTAAAATTTACATCAATTTGCCAGCAAATCCGAAAAACTTTATCGACAAGTTTCTGTTATCACTGCACAAAAAGTAGCTGACAATGTCGACCTGTGCTAATTGCTTCAAGTCGATTTCCGATCGCGAATCTACGAAGAACCAGTGCGATGGGTGTACATTTTTCATGCATTTGAACTGTACCGATTTAAAAGCAGTGTTTCCACTTTCATGGTTTTAATTCCCCACCACACCTCAATTGAGTTCCCCTTTTTTCCCCTCGAAAATAAATCATTGTAATATCTAGTTACACAGTGTTGCCACTTGTAAGCGATGTATCAAATTGTATCTTTTTTTTTTAACATTATATTAAACAAATGATAATTGTCAATTGTAACATAATTTTGAATCCATATAATTATTATATGCAACCAACTTTACAACTTGGATAATATATTAATTAATTAGTGCTGACCTCTTTCGGTTACCAGATAAATCAGAATAAAAATTGGACCTAGCGTCATCTATATAAATATTGTAAAACTCGAGTTTCAGGGAATTTCTCATTCTATAAGGGAACTCCCGTATCGCTCAATTCTCCTCTTCACAAGGTATTATTTTATAAGGATAAAAACATTATTTGCGGTCACAGTAGTCAGTTTATTTGAGTTTCGTACGGATAAGTTTTTGTAGTTGTAGTTCAAGAAAATGGATCAGTGGTTAAAGAAATCTTCTACTAAAAAATTGGTGAGTTAATGTTTGGTTAATATTTCTATTATATTCTATTGCATTTTAAATACTTAGAACAAAACAAAACACATTTAAATTAAATGCTAGTTTAGAATTTTATGATTATGAAAAACTAATAATTTGTTTGTTGCTAATCAATAAGGTAGCAAAGATTATTAAGAGCATACAGCCTTGTCTTACTATTTCTGGGTATTTTATTAAGGTTTAAAGTAGTATTCTTTACGGTTAAGTTTACCTATGATTTCTTTTAGACTGAAAAAGGAGCATCTGTGAGTTCATCGAATACGCTCAATACTACTACATGTATCTATTCCGAACCTCGGCCCTGAACGAGTTCTGAAGTCCAATCCAGTAATTATGATGAGGAGAACCAGAAGAAACATTCACATCTGGATATTTCGCCGGACGCGGACATATACATTGAAGATGTAAATGAACAAGTAAGATATAGTTGTTATTTTGTTTTAAGTCAATAATAGATTCTCTTTCATGTTTCAATATATTTAAATAGCATGTTGTTAATGTCACAGATGTTCATAATATATTGCTTATCATAAAATAAAGTTATGTAAATTTACTTAATTAATACCTATCTTATTGTATTTATAGGTTTTTAACTATGCTGAAAATGAAGAAGAGGGATATAGTACTGAAAATGAAAAGAAAAAGCAAAAGATAAAGATGAAGTCTGTTAAAGGAGTAAAAAAAACATTTAAAAAAAAGTTCATGCATGATTGGCTTAAGCTACCAGAGTTTAAAGAATGGTTGTTGAAGGGAAACAGCGATGATAATGCAATTTGTAAGGTATGTAATGTAGTAATGAAGGCGGGAAAATCTGAATTAAAAAAACATAGTGCTGGAAAAATACACACAAAAAATATGTCTAACATAAGTCAACCCAGTATTTCAACATTTGTTTCCGAAAATACAAAGTTAAAAAATACAGAAGCTGCAATTTGTTCTTATATTGTCGAAAACAATCTTCCTATTTCTTCTGTTGAACCGTTGATTGAATTGATTAAATCCTTACCGGAAAAATCAATCATATCTGAAATCTCTCTGGGCAAACAAAAGGCTACTATTGTAATTAGGAACGGTTTGCGACCATTTTTTAATCAAGAACTTGTCAGTGAACTAAAGCAGCATTTGTATTCTATTTATATTGACGAAACAACTGATGTTAGCGTTAAAAAGCAATTAGCAATACTGGTCAGCTACTGCCACAATTTTGAAACGAAAGTAGATGTGATTGACGTAGTTGATTGCCCAGACGGGACGGCTATCGCTTTGTACACACAATTATTAAACATACTAAAAGAAAACAATATACCTCTTCAAAACTGGATAGGTTTTTGCGCTGACACGACTTCAGTTATGATGGGGCCACATAACTCTGTATCTCAACTTATCAAAGCACATTATCCGCAAGTATTTGTTTAAAAATGTGCATGTCATATAATCCATCTGGTGGCTAGTTATGCATGTACCAAGCTCAGTAACTCGCTAGAAGATTTGTGCCGCAACGTTTACAATCACTTTGGGAGGAGCCCTAAAAATACTGCTGCTTTCAAAGAGTTTCAAGCCTTCTATGAAGTCAAACCTCATAAAATGTTGAGGGCTTGCCAAACCAGGTGGTTGTCCCTTCAAGCATGCGTGGGAAGAATTTTAGAACAGTGGGATTCACTTACACATTACTGGAGATTATTAAACTTCGAAGATCCAACACATGCGAACTGCCACACTCTACAAACTTTGGAAAACCCTTTGATTAAATGCCAAATGCATTTTGTAAACTACAGTCTTGGACTATTTAATGATTTTAATTGCATGTTTCAAGCTGACTATCCCCAATTCTCAGAACTTAAGACGCAAATTGAGGAATTAATCAAGACTTTGGCGTTAAATTTTATGAATAGAAATTACGTGAAACGAACCCCTGCTAGCCAAATAAATCCTCATCAAACAGAAGAACACCTTGATTTAAAACATGTTTATTTGGGTGTGGATGCAACTAATTTATTATCTGAGGTGGAAAATAAGAAATCGGCTGAAGTTCAAAAAATTTTAGAGTCAGCAAAAATGTTTTACATTGAGTCAATCGCACAGATTAACAAACGATTTGTGTTTGAAGATGTACATAATGATTCATCTTTTTTGAATCCTAAAAATGCTAATGATTTAACGCCTGCATCACTATACGCAATTGCTAAAAAATACATACCTTCCCACATTAATGTAGACTTCACAGAACTGGATAAGGAATGGAGAAATCAAAGTCTCCTTTCAGATATGGATGCTAATGATTCCACCGATACTGTACTTTACTGGAAAAATATATTCGAAAAAAAGAATTTTGAGGGTGGACGCAAATTCGTACACCTCCCAATATTGGTTAACTATTTCATGTCACTACCTTTTTCAAATGCAGCAGTAGAACGGCTGTTTAGTGCTGTTAAGAATATTAAAACTGATAAACGAAACAGACTTGAAAATGAAACTTTGAGCTCGATTCTTTGCGTAAAATATGGTTTACGACGAACAGGAAAAACCTCGGTACAATTAATGAAAAACCAATTTGAAGTACCTCATTTGAAATTTGTGCAAGCTAGTGCCACAGCCAGTCAAGCAAAAAAGATACGATGAAACATGATTAAAAGTGTAGAATAAAGTATAATGTTCGTATAATGATTTTTTTATTTTTCCCCTCGATTTTCCCTCTCTAGCTCTTTCCCCTTTTTCTTCCCCTCTGAAGTCTAAATTCCCCTCAAAAGGGGAACTTCCCCTCATTATGGAAACAGTGTTTAAAAGCCGATGATCGTGTCACTGGCCAAAAACTTCGATGCATTAAAATAGTTTGTAACCGTTGCTCTTCAATCGTAGATCAGTTTAGCGAAGTTAAGGGTATCCTAGAGACATTTAAAATAAATATTGATAAAAAGGTTGATTCTTTTGATGATAAACTTAACAGGCATCTAACGCTCGAGCTTAACAACTACATGTCCAGCGGGGAGAGGTCCGAGCTCCGACGAAGGCGGACCGCGTGTTATATTTGGCTCTTTTCTTTAAAGAGAGAAGCGCCTTGAGAAGGGGAATAACTTGCAGAAGACGATTTAACGCTGCACATTCAGGTCCGGACTTGACGGAGTGGAATAACTAGAACGCAAATCTCATCTGATCTAATTCTAGTGTTGTATTGTTGTTTGTGGTAGTGACGATAGTAATATTACGAAGGGTTGTTTGTTCCAGTTTTTCTTTGTGGCAGTTGACATATTGGTATTATTGTACTTATAATTATAATGGAAGAACAATCATATCAAAGAAAAAATAAAGCAATGCTTAGACTTTCCACTAAAAGAAAAATGCCGTGGAAAAAACAACTGGTTTTCCTAATTAAAAGGTAACTGGTAAATATTTATATAAAATTTTTGGCATAGTTAATATATGTACACATGAACAAATCTGATAAAAAATTTAATAGTAAGAGAGTATAAAAGTTATAAAAAAAATATTTAGAAGGTCCTAATGTCCCCGAAGAGACTTTGAGTATTTTAGGTAAAAATTGTAAATTTTGGACCACAAAAATTTTTATTACTTGACAAAAAATTTTTAAAAAATTCAGCATAGGGTATTTTGACCTGGAAAAGACGAAAATGATCATAAAAACGGATAGGGTTCATGTAGAAGGAGATATGGGGCCGAAAGTGCGTTTTAGAGCAATTTTGGGGCCCTACGAAAAATTTCAGCATTAACTGGTTCATCTTTAACTTTCAATGATTGGCTCTTATTGTACCTACACCAATTTAGATTCTCTTCCCCAAAAATTCAATGAATTTATTTGTCTTATTCAATCTGAAAAACCGGATCTTATTTTAATTACCGAAACGTGGCTCAATGTAAATATTCCAGACAGCTTAATCTCTATTCCTAATTACCAGATTTTTAGATATGATCGAATTGATAGACGAGGAGGGGGCGTATGTATATATGTAGCTCAACATATCTTAGACTGTTTTACAATCTCATCTGTAGATATCTCAGTTCCTCGTATTGATTCTCTTTGTTTGCAGCTGCAACATCTCAATTGCCGTATTACTCTTGCAGTTATTTACCGTCCGCCAGACACACCTGTTGCTACTGACGCGGCTCTGCTAAACAAACTCGATGTCTTAAGTGGTTCTGAAAATCTGATTATAGTAGGTGATTTTAATTTTCCAGACATTAAATGGCCAATTACTCCTATACCTGACACGCAAAATGGAATTTATCCACAATTCTAGTTTTGTTTAACTAATAACCCAACCCACGAGATTTAGAATAAATCAGGAACCTTCTACACTCGATCTACTACTTACCAATGATGAACAACTCTTAACTCCACTGGTGTATCTCCCAACAGTTGGAATATCTGATCATGCAGTCATAACGTGCCGTTTACAATTTCAATCATTCTCTTCTTGCACATCCAATCACACTATCTTTTCACTTACAAACTTTGCTGGAGTTTTTTTCTATCTAGACCAACTAGACTGGATTAATATTATCCCTGAAAACAATGATCCGAGCTGCATGTGGAATATCTTTCAAAATACAGTTAATGATTGTAAAATCTCGTACTAAAAACAAAATAAACAGAAGAACAAATCTCAAACCCTGGTTAAATAATCAACTGCTGTCTATGGTAAAACATAAGAAACACCTATGGAAAAAATTTAAGCGAACCAACAATATCAAAGCAAAGTATAACTATCAGGAGTACATCGCCAACTGTGCTGATAGCAAAAAGTTCTATAAATCTGACATCCAAAATATCCGTACCTCTTCTACAAAAAGAAAACGGAGATAAGTGTGCCAACAATACTGAATCTGCTCAACTCCTTTCTGACACCTTTTGTAATATCTTCACCCTTGAAGATATGACATCACCACTTCCGGATATTTTACTAAACAGAATACAGGCCTCTATTTTCAACGTAACGTTTGACCTAGACATAATAAAAAACAAACTTAAAATGCTTAAGTCCAACTCTTCGCCAGGCTTAGATGGTATCTCCTCTTTTCTTTTAAAATCTTGTGCTGACACTCTCTGTTATCCTATTTCCCGTATAATGACTTCCTCCTTTAATTCTCACATCTTGCCATCTATATGGAAAACTGCGTCAGTGACTGCCATATTCAAAAAGGGCAATAAGCTTTACCCAAATAACTATAGACCGATAAGCCTTCCTACCCAACAACATGGATTTATCAGAGGACGATCTACCTTAACTAATCTCCTGCAGTCTGTCAACGACTGGACAAAGGCCTTAGATGCTGGTCTTCCTACAGATGTTGTATACTTGGATTTTTCTAAAGCCTTTGATAGAGTTCCAAAGCACCGACTTCTCAAAAAGATTGAACACCTAGGAATCTGAGGTAACTTAATAGCTTGGGTAACGGATTTTTTAACCTCCAGACAATTTCGCGTAAGAGTTGGTAATAGTTTCTCTCAAACCAAATCCGTTGTCAGTGGAGTGCCTCAAGGATCAGTCCTTGATCCCCTACTTTTTCTATTATATACTGCCGATATTTCTGTGCACATAAAAAGCTGTTGCTCCTTCTATGCAGACGATACAAAAATCTACGCTAATCCAATTGCGGACCATCAGTCTCTTCAATCTGATCTAAGTGCGGTATTAAAGTGGAGTTCAGACTGGTTATTACCGCTAAACGTTGATAAATATGTTGTTCTTCATATCGGTAAAAACAATTCTAAGTTAGTGTATAATATTAATAATAATGCCTTAAAGACAGTATCGTCCCAAAATGATCTCGGCGTTATCATTACTAAAGACTTAACGTGGTCAGAGCATATATTATCAGTATGCAAACAATCAAACTCTTAACTATTCTTATTAAAAAAGGCTTCCGTATGGTATAAGAAGGCCACCGTATGAACAGCGTCTGTCTACTGCTAATCTGACTATTTTTAGTGAGCGTCGACTGAGTGGTGATTTAATCGTTTGTTTTCGCGCAATTAGGCACATGTTCGGTGTCGATCTTTCGGATTTATTTGTATTAAATAATGACCTTCGCCTACGTGGGCACATGTTCAAATTAAAAAAAGGAAAATTTTAACTCTAGAGTTAGGCAAAATTTCCTTTCAAACCGAGTTTTCTCTGTATGGAACAATTTATCTGATAACGTTGTATGCGCACCTTCAGTTAACTCGTTTAAAAACCAATTTGATTCATTAGGCTAAGTATGTATATATCTGTATAGACACAATAAATTAAAATCACAACAAATTGTAATGTAACTTAACCTAATTTATTGTCTTTATACTTTTATTTTAATTTTTTTTATTATCAATTTATAGTTATAGTTTATAAAAAAAAAAAAATTGTTTATTTTTAAGTAAAATTTTTTTGAATAATATGAGCTTTATAGGATTTCGGTTCTCAGCTCATGTCAGTAAATAATAATAATAATAATAATCTTATTCAATAAATCGTTACAAGTAGTTTCCAGATATTTGGAAAACAGCATTAATTGTTCCTATTCTAAAATCTGGTAACAAATATGTTGTGGAAAATTACCGTTCTATTTTTAAATTGTGCATTATTGCAAAATTGTTTGAATTTATCTTATGTGACTACTTAGACTTGAAAATATTATTAATATCAAACAATACGGAATTATGAAAAAGCGGTCCTTTGGAAGTAACCTTATTTACACACAATACTTATTAGATGGAATGGACCGTGGATTGCAAATAGATACCATTTATACCGACTTCAGTAAAGCGTTTGATAAAATTGATCATAATATACTGCTCCATAAACTTGCTGAAGTTGGTATTTATGGTAATTTGCTCATATGGTTTTCGTCTTAGATAAGTAACAGGACTCAAGCTATTAAAACTGGTATGTATAGCTCTACATTTTCTATTAATACATCTGGCGTACCGCAGGGATCTCATCTGGGACCGCTGCTTTTTAATATTTACAATAATGATATGGCCAATTGTTTTACCTTTTCTAAATTTATTATGTACGATTTAAAGGTTTTCATAGTGTTGCTACGAATTTGGGTTCTTTACACATACAAAATGATCTTGACAATCTATTGCACCTGTAAAATTACTCGTATCTTAATATCAACAAATTTCACTACATTACTTTTTCTAGAAAGAAAAAAATTTTACTTAATATGTATATCATTGATAATACACCTTTCGATAAAGTATCTGTTGTAAAAATCTTTGCATTTTTTATGACAGTAAACTATTATTTGATCATCATACTAATCACGTTATTATTAAAGCACAAAAGACATTATATGAACGTCTAAAGACTTCAAAAAAACATTCCGTAAACTATTTATGTCTTACGTCAACAGCATGTTAAGTTTTGGATCTGTTATTTGGAATCCTCAGTACATTTACATAACTAAACTTGAAAGTGTGCAAGATAAATTAATTAAATATCTTAATAAAACATTCTATTCGCATCAGGTCAATAACACAGGGAAACAGCTGTTTTGGTGTCGAGGTTTTTTAAGCTGATTCTATATCTATGTCCTGAATTCAAATAACGTATTCATTTTTACCTAGGAGCTCAAATTTTTAAGATATACAATTTTACTCACCATTAGAGACAATCTTT